AGCCGTCGTATTCAGCTATTTTGTAGCCAGAACAGCTCTCTTCATCGTAACAGTATTATGAGAAACGAAGCACTGCTCGGTTAAGATATGAAAAGTGGTCTGGATTATGAAAAATAACAATCTATAGGAAGCATGTAAATTATAGATTTGAAATATCGGCTTTTAATATTTAGACGGTAGGTGGTCTGAATTAGTAGTGGCTAAATATTGTCTCATTCAATTATTATAAGAGAAGGGTTTCGATAATAAGAAATAAAATATTTTTGTCTTTTATAACATATGGGAGGAAACCTGCATTTTGACAAATAACTCCTTGGTTTATTTATTAAGATAGTGAAGTGGTCTGGATTGTGAGATAACTAAATGTAGCTTCTTAACGTATTCTGGAACTATAAAATAATGGCTGTTTTATTCGAAGTGTAGATATAAGATAAACTGTATAATTTTTAGTTAATGTTTAATTAAAGTAATCTATCAATCTGTGGTTAAATATCGACGTTTTTCTCAGTGTTTTATGTGATTTGGAATTCATTTTGAAATTTTCGGCGTTTTATTTAATGTGCATTGTAAAGTAATACGGAATATAATTTCTCAAATATTTGCCGTTTGCAATATGCTTGTGAAGCATGATGTAGGCCCCCTGTTGGATCAAACCGCAAAAAAATCGGGTTTCGACACTTATGGTGTAGGTTGGCGTTTAACAACAAGCAAGTAAAGAAGCGTAATGTAGAATATAACATGGTATTTTTTATTCAATAACTGTTAGTTTTACTCTGTGTTTTATGAAGGGTAAATGTGGTTTTGATTTTATCATATAAACGTAAGGGATGAATGTCTTTAGATCATAACGTATGAAATATTCTTATTTAATTTAGTTAAACATATGAAGAGATCTGGATTATAAGCTACGAGCTATTTCTTCTGTTATTATATGAAGAGGTATTAGGGATCACGAATTGCTAAATATACATTGTCATTGTGGGTGTATGAGATGCTCTAATTTAAGAATTATTTGTTGGCTAATTCAATTTTGATTTGATTGGGTGAACTGGATTTCACATTTTGAAAAGTTCATTGTTACTTTCAGTTTTCATATAAGAAACAGATTGGATTAAGTATTGTTGGTTTATTCAGTTGAGCATATGAATAAACCTAAATTATAAATCAGGAAATGCCGTTTTCTTATTTAATATGGGCATGTGAAGTGATTTCGGTTATAACGATCACAATACCATCAGAATGAATATTTACTTAAGAACAGACACTTTGTCTTTTTTTTTTATTTTCCTGAAATTAAATTTTGTTTTCGATTGATAAAATTATGTGTTATAGTGATATTACATCAAATATGATACTATCATAGTATCGTTCTGACATAATAATGTTACTAGTATGTTTTTCATTTAAAGCCCCCTCTGCTAGATTAGCATAAATTTGCTGGCTTAGAACGCCAAATTCAGGGGCTCAATTTCCTGTGTTGGACCTAGTGCAGATAGTCTTCTGAAGCTTTGCGCTAAAACAAACATTTGAAGGTCTATGTATAACTTGTAAATCTTTAAAAGAAACAGTTTCCTGAAAAGTGTCATAATGAGCAGCAGTTATGAAATGGGAAGTGAGAGAACAATCTCTACTTCATTATTGAAGGAGTCACACTAGTACTGCACAGGATGGCTCCAAAATAATGCTCCATCTTTAATTTATTAGGTCATGCTAGGCTGTCAATTCGCTTATCATGCACATACAGACACACATATAAATAAATAAAATATAAATATGTATATATAATTTGCATAAAAATAACAATGAATGCGGAAAAAATACCATTTCAACAATCGGAGGAATTTATTAATTATTAGTAGACGGATTCAATTCTTTCTTACTTTGTTATTTTATGCAGAGACAGGATAAGCTATACAGGAGTGACAGTATGTCATGTCGAAAGTACATACTTAATAAGTTTCTTACATACAAACACAGACATACTTATATAGCACATGTTTGCAGAAGTAGAATTGAAGTTACCTTTTTAAACATGATACGAAGCTATTATTTTTCTTTCGGTAACTTCCTTCCCCTGGGGATTAAAGCTATTAATAATGCCGTTGCTTTTATCTTTCTAGTTTAGCGTTGCTGCTTGGCAACGTGAGTAAAGTATGCATCATTGCACGTCACGTGCATGTATACATTCTATAAAAGTGACTCATACTCAGGGTATACTTACATCAAAGTCAATAAAAAGATGCAGGAAAATAAAAGTTAAATTTATTCGTGGTTAGAAGAAAGAGATATACATATAGAAAGACTACATAAGAATGTACGTAAACTACTGTAGGAAAGGCGTATTGTTTGTATATTGCTGTAACATAAGGAAACACGCAAAGCGCTATAGCAAAGACGTATTGTTTATAGGTTGCTGTATCATCAGAAGGAGCACGCAACGTGGTAATAATGTTTCGATTCTTCCTTACTTTGTGCAGAGACAGGATAAACTATACAAGTGTGACAGTATGTCTTATAGAAAGTTCAAACCGTTAAGGAGTTACACTTATAACGCAGAAACTACATGCTTATAACGGTTGGAGACGGCTTGAATGGGTAATGAAGAAAAACTTTAATATAATGTACATTTGCTGTTGTGTTAAACTTATATTAAAATTTTTCTTCATTACCCATTCAAGCCGTCTCCAACCATTATTAGTCTCAAAGTGGGTTCCTCGTCATCGAATTTACATGCTTATAGGTTGCTGTGTTATAAATATGCTCTAAAGTAGTAAGAGAATGCTCTAAGAAATGTGTATTGTTTGTAGGTTTCTGTGTCATAAGAAGGCAGGTAAATTGCTGCACGAAAAACATACTTTTTGTTGATTGCTGTGTCATATATTTATAAAGAAGCACATAATGTAGGAAATCGTATTGTTTGTAGACCGCTCTGTCATAAGAAGGCGCTTAAAATTCTGTATGAAAGCCGTAATAAGGAGGCACGCTAATTAGTAAGAGTGATTTAGATTGCTGTCATAAGAAGATATGTAAAGGAGTGCTATAGGAAAAGAGAGTTGTTGTTTGCTGTGTCATAAATCGGCACTAAAGAAGTAGCAGTGCTGTAAGAAACTTGTATTGTTTGTACGTTTCTGTGTTTTAAGAAGGTACGTAAAGTGCGTATTGTTTGCAGATTGCTCTGTGTCATAAGGAGGTACATAAAGTGGTAAGAAAATGATATATTGTTTATAGATTGCTTTATCATAAAAAGGAATGTTAAGTAGTAAGAGTGCTGTAGGAATGACGTATTTTTGTAGATTTCTGTGTAATAAGAAAACACGTAAATTAGTAAGGGAATGCTGTAGGGAAGTCATACTGTTTATAGATTGCAGTGTCTTAAGAAATCACGTAAAGTGTGGTAGGAAAGACCTGTTTTGAGATTGCTCTGTCATAAAAAGGCACCTAAAATGTTTGAGAAAAATTTTATTATCTGTAAATTGTTATGTGATAAAAGAACATAAGATGTGCTGTATGAAGGCATATTGTTGTAGATTTCTGTGTCACAAGAAGGCTTGCAAAGTGCTATAGGAAAAGTCTTGTTCTGTATGCATTGTTTAAGAAAATTGAGCTGGAACATTACAAACAAGTGTTTGGATAAAAGTATTTTACGTCATATGTATTAATAAGCACAGTCATAAACAATTTTCAATAACATTTGTGCACATGAGATATTACAATACTAAACGCATATAGGTAAGTATTAAACTTCGAAGCTCAGCACTTGCTTTTCAACCTTTGTTGAAAATAAATACAAAGGGCCGTAGTTCATGAATGTACAGAATCCCAGTTTATGGCAGTTGATAGTGCTATCAAAATATGACAATCTCTTTCTGTACATATGTATTATATATAGGTATGGCGTTAAATGTGAAATCGCTTGCACAAGTATGTACCGATGTATTATATATAGGTATGGCGTTAAATGTGAAATCGCTTGCACAAGTATGTACCGACGTATTATATATATAGGTATGGCGTTAAATGTGAAATCACTTGCACAAGTATGTACCGACGTATTATATATATAGGTATGGCGTTAAATGTGAAATCACTTGCACAAGTATGTACCGACGTATTATATATATATAGGTATGGCGTTAAATGTGAAATCGCTTGCACAAGTATGTACCGACGTTTGACTGTCTCGAATGTACTTTTCTGCTTCTTTGTTGGTCAAGCTTGATTCCGCACAATTTATTTATTTCAGTGAGGTTAGAGTATACTATGAGGTGGGCTGTTAGTACTTGCCCCGTCATTTTTGACGGGCTGTACGCTAGTAATAGTTAAAAACCACTATAACATCCCATAATAGTTTAAAAACCACTTTATAACAGTTCATAGTGGTTAAACAACCACTTTATAACAGTTCATAATAGTTAAACAACCACTCTATAACAGTTCATAATAGTTAAAAAAGACACTATAACATCCCATAACAGTTAGAAAACACTCTATAACATTTCATAAAAGTTAAAATATTCTATAACACCCCATAGTAGTTAAACTATTATGTAGTTTTAACTACTGGTAGTTAACTGCAGATGTTGTTACCATCACCATAATAATTAGGTACAAACATGTAGCAGTGTTGAATATTTTGATACACAGATTTCGGGGATTGTTTTATAACTTTGTGACAAGGGCACCAACATTAAAAACGCTCTCTGCAGCGTTGCGTATTTCACATCACGAAGTGCAGATCCTGAGATATGTGTTGTCGCTTTCTGATATGCCCTTTACAGGGAACCAACATTAAAAACGCTCTCTGCAGCGTTGCGTATTTCACATCACGAAGTGCATATCTTGTGATATGTGTTGTCGCTTTCTGATAAGCTCTTTACAGGGAACCAACATTAAAAACGCTCTCTGCAGCGTTACGTATATAATTATTACATACCATGAAGTGCATATCTTGAGATATGTGTTGTCGCTTTCTGATAAGCCCTTTACAGGGAACCAACATTAAAAACGCTCTCTGCAGCGTTACGTATATAATTATTACATACCATGAAGTGCATATCTTGAGATATGCGTTGTCGTTTTCTGATAAGTCCTATACAGGAAACCAACATTGAACACACTCTCTCTCTCATGAAGTGCATATGAATGTGGAAAATAACATTTGCATTTAGCGGGATTTGTGCCACTTTATAGCTAACTGAAGACTAAGAAAGCAGTGTTCATTTTTTAAATGGGATTGACATTTTAAAATTTCCGTTTCTTTCATGAAATCACATGATTATAGTGAATGAAGTATGTGCATAGTGACATCATAATATTTTCATCTGTTTATACAGGCCCTGGTAGCACAGTGGACAAGGCTAGATCCCCTACCTTGGATCCCCCACAACAACTTCACAGCGTGTATGGTAGCCATGGCCACCAAAACTACAATAGCATTAATAGTGACAGTCCTACAGTTTCCATATCTACGTCCTCCAACTCCATGTTAGTTATTTCTCAGTCAATCAACGCTGTAGTGAAGAGTACACCAGCCCTAAATGTCACTAGTGCTATCAACAGTGGCAATGAACGGAAATATCAGTGTAAAATGTGCTCACAGGTAAGAGAACAGTATTATTGACTGTTGAATAGTGTGTGAATGAAATATTCGAAATTTTATATAACTGTGTGCTTATATGTTGTTGATTCTGTTGTCTCGGGTTTTAGTTAATTTTATAAGTGATATAACAGTCTGCGCTTGCATTGTTTAAAGCATGTAAATTACGAGCTGTCACAAAATAAGTATAGTTGATTGGAGAGTCATAGAACCTATACCTTGGCCTACAGATGAAAGTGTATAAAAGCACATAAAGAACACATTGTAGTATGCGGCGCGCCAAAATGACCTTGTAGCCGTATTGCGTAACACATGACGTCATTAGGATTTGCAGTTAAAAATGAGTTTCATGTAAAAACTTGTTTAGGAAGAAAGTATCTTCAAGAAGTGTCATTTATATTTTCTTAACTAAACTTCGAAGTATAATATATATCTTTTATTTGTCCGAGGAAATGATTACTCAGATGAAAACGTATTGTATTCTAACTTCAGATATTGAACTTACCAACAAATATGATGGATAAATTTGGAAGACACCGACAAATGTATAAGTCCGCAAACTTGTAAAGTTGCATATCTAGCAGAATGAAACGGTATGTGTAACTTGTTTTCATGAATTAATTTCTCATGTTGAAGTATCGAGAAGAAAAACAAACAAGATAAAATTCAAAACCACACTAATTACCATTGGCTTATATTTCTTGTTCAAAACAGACTACAAAAATATTATTACTACAAGCAATGAAAACATTTTCAGCTTTCCAGCAGCTACTAATTGAATATTATAGCTCGTTCTTAAAGTTGGCCATGTTTCTAGATTATTAAACTTTCGCTTAGAAGTCTAACAGTACTTTGTTGTATGCGTCACTTTCACGTACATTTATTTTTGTCTCATACCTGTAGGTAGTATCAAATTTACTTTATGTCTTGAATTAATTGAAAGTATGGAGCGTATTCAGCAACATTGCGGCACAAATCCTGGACTTTAGGATACACATCCCGCCACTTATTAATTTAATTACATATATATATATAGTTTTTATAATCCAAGTCGTTAAAATACAAAGTAATAATCATGGTAATTGCTTAGTGTCCACTTCATGAGTGTACACATAGAGGTAAAAATTCAAGTAAGACAAGAGATTATCAATATTCAAATTCGCTGGACATTTTCTGTTTGTCCGCTAAAACTTATTTTACTGTTTATTCATGTGATTTTAGGTGTAGATAGAGTTTATTGCTACTACATACATAAAGGCTAGGAAAAACGGTCTTGGAGTTTTCAACTTACAACTAATTACGTCCCTTCATGTCATATGGAAACCATATGTGCAAACAGCTGATCACAGAAAAGACAAAAATCACTTACTTGGGTGAGGTTGTAAGATGCACAAAAATATACTGCACACAGGTTGAAAACGCACAGGTGAGTCAACGTTATTTGTATACTAGCATATAGCCTGTAAAAGATGATGGGGCTCGTACTACCACCCCACCCCCCCATACCATACCATAACCTCACATTTCATAGCTAACTGAAATAATCAATTTAGCGAAATCAAGCTTGACTTGCAAAGAGGCAGAAAAGTGCAATCGATGCGATCAAACGTCGGTAAATTCCTTTGTGAACCAATCAAAATTTAGATCATTCATGTGACATTTTCATAGAATAATTATTAGTAAAAATCAGTTAGATTAACAACTTCTAGGCCCGGCATGACCATGTGGTTAGGGCGCTCGACTCACAATCTGAGGGTCGCAGGTTCGAATTCCCGTCACACCAAACATACTCGCCCTTTCAGCCGAAGAGGCGTTATAATGTGACGGTCAATCCCACTTTTCATTGGTAAAAGAGTAGTCCAAGAGTTGGCGGTGCGTGGTGATGACTAGCTGCCTTCCCTCTAGTTTTACACTGCTAAATTAGGGACGGCTAGCGCAGATAGCCCTCGTGTAGCTTTGCGCAAAATCTATAACAAACAAACAAACAACTTCTGATATATAGAAAAGCCAGCTACGTTCCAACAAGGATTTTTTTGTCACGTTGTTTAGTAACAAAAATATAACCTAATATTGTTGTTAGTCTATGTACTGAATGAAATGTATAGACAACAAAACTGGAAAATATATGTTGATTTCTTAATGTAGATTCTCCGTTGATTAAAGAGGTTTGTTTTTATTAAAAAAGGTTGGTGATATAACAGAAAATAACTTAATTCAGAAACAATTTAAGTTTAAAATTGAATCGATATTTATACTTTCATGATAAAGTTTATGCACTTGGCACTAGGCTAGGTGATCCCACACTACCTCTTTACTTTAGGCTTATTATAACAACAATTTGTTGTTATGTATTTATTTTAATATCAATGTTTGTTTAGATTAAGTTTATACTTTAAAACATGCGTGCTGTTAAATATGTATTGCGAAACTCCCGCTTATTCTCCACAGTTGTAGAAGATTCTCGAGAGTAAAAATCAATAATATGTGTGTACGTAAACGTTTAGATGTAGCTCTGCATTGTTACGTAATATGAAATTTCTAGAAAACATTCTCACGGCTATAAATATAACCAACATGACGCGCCAAAAAGAGTATCTATTATTAGTTCGCTATAGTCAGTGTGCTATAAACTTCGAA